CAAGGAAGTTTTGCCACAGATACTTCCTATTGCTAGAGAATACGTTCAAGCATTTTTCTGAACTGAAAGAAGGTGATTATGGATGAAGTCTTCTTTGGTTAAGAGATTTCTCTGAGCTCTAATTATTTGCTCGATGACCCGATTTGGCTATCGTGATTGAAGTAGAGAAGAAAATGGTTACTGGTAACTTATCTGACATTTAACCTTTTAGTTTGCATCAAAACATATGCTTAGGCAAGAACAAACAAATTGATTAACATCAGTGCATGCATATGTGAAAGAAGTCAACAAATTTTTTTTAATGAAACGGAAAAGCAATTCTCACATATCTTTCGTTTCATAACTTATCCTAGTTTATCATGATAAATATAGATGTTGTTAACTTATCTGCCATGTAAACTTCAAGTTTGCATCAAAACATATACATTTCTATTGGTCAAAATCTCTCAGATTTAAAAAAGAGGAAAAAGTGCTCAAAATTCTCTCCCAAAAATGTTGTTATAGACTGAAGAAGAGGCGAAAGCAAACAAATCGGCCGACAAAAATTCTCAGAGACTGTAAAACAGTGCTCATATATCTATCCTCTCATAACTTCTCCTGATTGATCATGAGGAAAATGAAGCCTGCTAACTTATCTGCCATGGTTCTTGAGATCTATATGATCTTATTACTTCAGATGATTTGTGGACCAGTTGGTTGATTGGTTTCTTGGTTTCAAATTACAGTGATGCTTTCAAATTTCGATTCGGTGGCACATTTTACTTTTTTTTTGAAATGTTTAGTAGAGCTATGATGGAAGAAAATAGAACAAAATGCTGAACTAATTACGCATTGTGAATTGAAAAAAAAAACAGCTTAATAACTTTGACACGAATGTTGCTTGGTCTTTATGCCTGGATTATACATTTGGTGATCCTGGATGGAGCCATTTTTTATATGAAGACTTTGATTTTGAGCTTTACTTTTAAATCTTTTTTACCATATTTTTGTTTTCTTTTATAGTATTGTTGCTTTTAATGTTGAATATTATTCTATTTCTTATTTATTTGTACATCAAATGGGTAAACAAAAGGAAAGGCGGGATAATCGCTATTTGGGATAGAGAGACAGATAATTTTCTGTGATTTTTGCTTGAGTGAGATAGAAAATGATAACAAACCGACCACACACTTCAATAAGGAAGGTTGATAAAATGTCACGAAATACTTTCAAGGAAGGACTGATAGACTGTACAACAAAACTCAGCTGAAAAACAAATGGGATCAACTTAAGATGAATTGAAAGTTATGGAAGGAGCTAAAGAGAGGTGCTACTGGATTAGGGTGAGATCCTATTAGGAAAATAATTGATGCACTTAAGAAGTGGTGACAAGAAAAAATTTCAGTATGTAGAAAATTTTACATTCAATTGTACTTATTTTAAAATTTTTTTCTTAGAAATCAAGTTTAGCAATTGTAGGTTTCGCCGAATGCAAAAAATTGACTTAGTGGTATTGACTCGGAGCTGGAGAAGAATCTATAAACTATGTTCTTCAGTGTTGTAGCAACAATTGTCGATGTCTGGGCTACAACAAAACTCACTCATAATGGGCCATCACAATTTTCATTATGTCACATAGAGTCCTTTCGTGCTGCTTCTGAGCATTTTCAACACTCTACAGAGACAATCAACAGATATTTTCATATTGAAGTGAACTCTTTGATGAAAATGGCCACAGGAATTGCCAAATCACCGAACGAAATTTTTGCACAAACACCTCGGTAAATCCGTAGTGATTCGAGGTACATACTGTTTTTCAAGGTATTGATCTCACTATTTATTCTAGCAGTACTACATTAAAGAAATTTTATAAATATTCTTTATAAAAAGGATTGCATCAGAGCAATTGATGAAATACATGTTGAATCATGCGTTGACAATGAGGAAAATATCGCATATATCGGAAGGCGTGAGGTTGCTACATACAATATATATTAGCAGTATGTGCTTTCAATATGTGTTTTACATTCGTGATGACTTGTTGGAAAATGGAGTGCACATAAAAACAAAATCTTTAAATTTGCAACCCTGCGGTGTGAATATAAATTCTCGTTGCCTGCTCAAGGTTGGTGCATTTTAGCCATCACTATAATATTTTCAGTTGAGCAAATCCGCTAATGTTGTCATTATTCAGGAGAATGTTACCTTGTTGATTCAGGATATCCACTGCAAAGGGTTTTTTTGAAGCCATGTCCCGACAGGAGGTATCACCTTCTTGATTTTGAGTGCAATAGCCAAGTGATTAGACGGAGGAATGAGCTCTTTAACAAAAGACACTCATCATTACACAGTGTTATCGAGTGAACATTCAATGAATAGAAAAAGTGAGTCATACTCCGAGATATGCTTGCGCATTCCTTAAAAAAACAAGTAAAGATAGTTGTTGCAACAACTATGCTTCATAATTTTAAGTAGAGGCATTCATCCCGATATGATATTGATTATAGGGTCTTAAATGAAGATCCTACATGCATGCCTGAGGAAGCTAACTAACATCAGGCCATGCCTTCAGTGCATGAAGTGGATTTTAGGATGAATGAATATAACACTTCTGAGGAAGAAAGCATTGAAGAGACGATATAGTTAAGAGAAGAGGTTACTGATGCTTTGGTGAACACAACGATCATACTTATGTTGTATCACCTATTTATTGGTTTTTGATGATTCAAATTTCAGCTCTATGTTGTTTCTCTGGATATATATATTTTTAAATATTTGTAGCTTTATTATGTGTCCCGACAAACTTTTTTTTTTAATTTTAAGACTGTTTAATTTCTGGAATGTTATATCTGCTTTTCTTTTATTATTTAGAGCAATATTGTCTTATAGTAACATGAAATGTGAGTTTAAGAGCATTAGGTACTTTGAAAGTTTCGCTCTGCCATTGTAGTGATAGGTGTGTTCGATACCACTTCAGAAGGGTAGGCAGCTACGGGAGAAGATTTTACTCTTCTCTTAGAAACATGACTCCTGCAGATTGCAATTTATTTCGTTGGGTTGATGACACTGATGAGTTCTCTCTAAACCGTGATCAGGCGAGAGATGCTGGCATGGAGTGGGGATTGTGTCAAAGACTTGATCATCAGGACTTGAAAACAAACATCATTCTAGGCTTGCTGGTTACAGTGGTTGTCCTCATTATTATAATTATATGCTTCAAATAACTTATCACTTTAATATGTATTAGAGAATTTTTAACTGTAATATTATTTTTTTGTAGTTCGACCTCTTTTTGTTATTTAGTTATGATTATTCTGAAAATTGTACTTATTTGAATATATTACAACAGTCTTTCTCATCAAAAACATCAGCTACACAACAAATCTCCCAAACAGACTCTGACTTCTTCATTAGCAGTTTTCTGACAGTTCCTGTAAAGCTATTTCTCCAGGAAGTAGCTTTATAATTGTTTCTTGGAAAAACAGGAGCTGCGTTGCACCAAACACACCCTTAAAGGTGTTTAGGACATTTTTTTAGTGGGGTTTGGTTTTTTTTTTTCTCTTAAACTATTAGAGATAGAAAAAAATGTAGTTTTAGTATCAAAAGTAGATTGGACACATCTAATCTTTCATAATTTCATCGCTCTCCGTAAGATAAGGCTTTGTTAAGTGAGATTTTTTTTCGATAGAGGCAATATCATTAGATATTCAAAATATTTTCAAGAGGATGATGATAACTCTAGTATCTTTTTGTGTGGAAGGATATCCAAAAAATTACAAACCTAGGAGGTCCAATTTTCCTCTCTTTTGATTATACGCATGAATAAAATAGATATATCTACATATTCTATGTTTAAGGCCAAAAGATGCTTTGACAGGTAGTATAATTGGGTATGGTATTCCATAGGAGTTTATTTTCTAAATTCCGTGAGGAGTTCAATTGTCACGTTTGTTGCGAGGGCAGCTTCACTCTAAAATGATTTAGGGACATCAATTTGAATTCAAACTGCCCAAGTGATGTTAAGCAATAGATAGTATTTTTCTTTTAACAACTTGACTTTGTTGTGGCGTATTTACATCGGATCACTCTTGGATGATGCTTTTTTTAAAAAAAAGGTAGGTAGTTAAAATCTTGTCAATGCAGTTTCTTGCATTGTCAAACTTAATTTGTTTTAGTTTTTACCCCAATTTGATTGACTTGTGGAGTGAATTATGAAATAAGATTGCTAACATTGTATTTTGTTTAATCAAGGAAATTCATGTGACTAGTACAATTGACAATCAGATAAATGAAATCGATGAACTCTGAAAAACATTTAGAATTCTGGATGGTACCCAAATGCTACTGCAAATTAATTCAAACGTGCTAGAATTTCCTTTATTACTGACAGGAAACTATATATGGGGGGTTTTTTTTTAATTTAGTGTTTCACAAGCATTACAATGTAAATCGATGATACAAGTCGTATGAAAAGACAGGGACACATTATATACAGATGTGTAAAAAATAGATGATAGTGATGAAGCCAAATGGCATCTTCAGAAAAATTATGAATTTTCAAAAAAGTCTGTTTGTCTTGGTTTTTTGCATTAGTTGTTGCATAAGCTGTGCCTTTTACTTTCTTTTCACAAGAATTAAGACAAATCTGCTTTTCCTCTTTCTGATATTGGGGCTCAATATTTTTTACCATGATAGAACAATCTAGTGTACACGACTCAAGCATTACACCCTTAGAATTTGCTCTACAAGGATTAGATAATCATCTCTTCAAGTGTGACATTCATTTGCTTTGTAACCGAGTTTAATTCAAGTTAGTGAGACATTTTTTTTGTTATTTGTCAGATTTTACTGCTTTTTCATATTTGTTTTACAGCATATGAAAGTTGTTATTCTTAGTCATAGATCATATCTTCTGTAACCTATCAACAAATATTTTTTAGTTTTATTGTGTTTCATTTATGTTGTTTGGTAGAATGTCTCATTAAAAATTGTTTGACAAAATGGTAAAATTGGTATTGTAGGGTTTGTTTAGAAAGAAGTTGTCATCAGTTACAGATTCAAAAGACGACGACAGTGCTGCCCTTGAAAGTGTTGTATTTCTCCTCAAATGTTTGAAGGTTATGGAAAATGCCACTTTTCTGAGCAAAAACAATCAGGTTTAGTTTTTATAAAATACTGCTTTTTCTCACCCCCTCCATAAATATCTGTGCAGACATTTGAAATCGTTAGCTCTTTCCTTTATTTTCTGTTGGGACTTCATGATAAATTTTTACATTCTGGTAACAGAACTACTTGCTTAGTAAGAAGGCCAAGTTGGAATCTGGAAGGACGTCTTTGTCTTTCGTTGGTATTATTATCAGTTGCATCAAATTTTTATCAGGTTTGATACATGCATATGACTATATGGGTTGATTCTTTATTTGCATATTCTGTCTCTCTATTTAGTCTTCTGTTTGTCCTAATGTAATTGAGTCTTTTTTAGGCCTTTCTCTTCTCCAAAATCCTTTTAGCACCTCCAACTATGGGAAATTAACATGCTTGCCCAATGGAGCCTCTGAAGTTTGCTCGAAGGGGAAGAATACAGGTACAGGGTTAGTAATTTGGTTGGATTTGAGATTTTATTACCTATTAAAATTCACAAATTGTTGGAGGTCAACTATGAGCTATGGCTACTGAGTTGCTGCCTAGGATTCATCTTGTTTTAATCATAGCTTATTGAATCTAGTTTTAAACAGTTTACTGGGCGTATTTTCTACTAGATTTTTTATCTTATTTTTCAATAGCTTAGAATCAATAATAACTCTTTTTCAGTGGTACTCAGTACCCTAAAAATTAAAAGGATACAAATTCCTTGCCTTAGTATGAGTTTCTGTTTAAGGTTTGTAACCTGACAATTCTTTCTTGTGGTTAATTGCTTGTAGGTTCCTAAGATCGAGGATGGCTTTATTGTGGTCCACATTTCCTAAAATCTTTTATTTGGATCCATGAAATCTGTTTAATGTATGAGTTGCTCTTTATCATAAATTGCCTTTTATATTTTGAATTTTAAAATTTTTAATGAAATTACCTCAATTAAAAAATGAGTGTTAGGCTTGAGCTTGGCCTATTAGAGCTCATGTGAATGTGTGGACATTGATGTGGAGAGATCACCTTGTTGCAAGATTTTTTATTCAACAAGCTCATGCGCACCCTAACCGAAATGACATTTTGTTTCCAATGAAAGGTTGCTACCTTTAGATCCTATAATCAATCAGGTAGCTAGACTCAGGATAACATATTTAGATCGTTGTAAGTTCCTATAGAAGGGTTGTTGGCCGTCTGATTATGCTTTACTTAGAGATATTTTTTTTCCTTTATTTAGATATTTGTATTTAGAAGAATATTTGGATCTCTTTTTTTTTAATATTTTTAGGATTTAATTCTTGTTATTTTCTTTTCTTGTAACCCAAGGTTTTTTTCATTATTTTTAGGTCCGTGTCGACCTCATTTTGAGGTCATTACTCTTTTCCTTAGGATCCTAGGATTTAGCTCTATGAGTTCTTATTGACTATCTTAGAAAACTATTATTGGAGTTCATCCCTTTAGAAATTTCAATCACTTTCTATTTCTCTTGTGATATCCCACATTGATGATCTTAACGCCATCGTCGTATGGTCGAGTGGTTGAGAATTATCATGTGGAGACTCAGGGAGAAGTTCCCAATAGGATGGTTAAGAACTATCATGTGGAGACTCAGGGAGAAGTTCCCTATAGGATCTCAAGCCCTAGGAAAATTTCTTCAGGACTTTATCATTACACACACACATAAAATGCACAAAATTCACTAAGTTGCACAAAATCAAACTTAAATTGAGCTTAAAGGATGGGTGAAAGTGCGAATTTCTCCGAACGACCTCCGACGACAAAATGGACTACGCCAGCGCGTCCGAGACACCAATTTTAGCTAGGAAAGACACCCATATTGTCATAATTCCGTGCACAAGCAAGTTGCACGCAGTTCAATGAACTCTTTAAAACAAACTCCAACGACAAAACGAACCACGCTAGCACGTCCAGAACGCCAAAGTTACCTAAAAAGGATATTCAATTTTTTACAATCTGACACACAAATGAAAATGCATAAATCAAATTTTGTTTTTAAAATATTAAAAACTTTTATATTTATATCATTATTTATAATCTTAATTATAACCCTAAACCCAATTTTTCCCTTTTCCCGCACATTTAACCCTTCGCTCGACCCCGTGGCTTAGTCAGATGCTTCGCTCGTCCCCTTGCGTGCCCCAGCTCCCGTGGAGGATCCACGCAGTGATCTCTTTTCCCTCTCTCGACTCTTCCCCTTCTTCGCATGGTCGCTCGACCTTTCGGCTCTCCAATTGCAAGGGCCGAGCTGGCCGACTCTTCTCCTTCTTGAGGTATTACCGTCTCCCTCTTTACTGTGGCGATTCTTTCCTCGTCATTTGATTCGACTACCAGTGAGGCTGGTAGATGGTGGTTCCCCTCTCATCTCTGCCTATAAAAAAGCTTCATAGAGTACTGTTTTGGGTTGTTGAGAATTGTTTGAGAAAAAGAGAGGTTGAGGTTTTTGCTGTCTGAGGCTTTAGGAGGAGAGGTTCTGCCGAAATTTCTTCTTTGTTAGGTTCTCGTGTGCTGGGAGTTTGGAGCATTTGTTGGTTGCTGTTTCTCGAAGCCTTTAGGAAGAGAGGCTCTGCTGAAGTTTTCTTTCGGCTAGGTCCTTATGTGGTGGGCGTTTGGAAGCTTGGTGTCATTTTTCTATGTTTTTTTAGGAAATCTCAAGCAAGGTACTTCTTCCATCTCTTCTCTGTTCTGTTGCCCTGCTCGACACATGTTGGAAATGTTAAAATAGGGAATGCATACATAAGACTTTGATTTGACTTAACTGGTATTTCGTAACGACATTGATATCAAAGATTGGGCCTTTAATACTTTTATTGGATCTGATTTAAAAGTTTTATTTTGGTTAGTTGAAATAACAGTTCAGGGAAAGCATGTTTCGATCTATTGTAATATGCAAATCTTCTTCTTACACTTTTATTATTCCTATGCCTATATGCTGGAAATTGTGGCCTTTTTTTTTCTTTTCTCCTTGCTGAATCAATTTATTGTTAAAGGAAGGATGATTTTTTAGGGGAAAAAGATAGCTTGCATTTCTTTTCTGCTCGAAGTACATGGGAAATCATGAATATGAACTCTGAAATGATATTTGCTCATCTAGAATTCATGTTGGAAATGAAATGTTGATACTTTTTTATTATTGTTATTCCTGTCCAAATAAATGCTGAGTTTGGCTCTTTTGGGATTGAGTCTATGCTGGAAATGTTTCTCTGTTTTACCCCATATGGATGAGTTCGGTTTTTGGCTTCATTTTGGATTTAATGCTAGCGGGGAATTTTTGCCCTGTTTTGCCTTTCATGTGGGCTCGCTTTGGCCTGATGATTGGGTTTGGTTTGCCCCTATGCTATGACTGATTTGCCCATGTGATGGGTTTGGTTTTAACTCTTTTAGGTTGGAAATTATAGCTGAAAGATGTTTCTCTGTTTTGGCCCATTTGGTGGGCTTGTTTTTCTTTTTTGGTTCTTTTGGAATGAATGAATGTTGGAAACTATTCTCTATTTCCCCATTTCGTTGGGTTCATTTTTTTTATTTTTTTTGGAAATATTAATGCTGGAACATGTCTACTGGGACTTGGTTTTGGTTTTTTTGGAATGGATAAATGTTGGAAATATTTTCTTTGTTCTACCATTTGGTTGGGTTCGATTCTGGCTCTTTTGGAATTGAATTATAGCTGGAGGTATTCTTTTTGTTCTTGCTCCTCTACTGGGCTCACGTTTACCTGTTACAGTTAGTTTGTTTGCTTCTTTGTTGAGCTCAGATGTGCCTGTTTTGGATTCTTGTCTTGCCCTTATTGCTGGGGTCGGTTTGCCCCTCGGTTTGCCCCTTTGCGGACACAGTTTGGTTGGAGGCTCTTCTTTAACGTCTCTCTTGAGATTTTTATTAGTAATCAAGTTTGTCATCCCAAAATTCATGATTTCAATTTCTACTTTTATGTGGAAATGTTTGATACGAGCAGACGAACTCATTATCATGTCTTATTTGTTGAGAATTGTTTAATCTAGATAGTTTATGAGTCTGTCCATTCACTCTCTTATGTATATTAAAGGAGCACAATGGTAATATTTGTGGCGACTTTTTCCTTTGCCGTGAAGCCTGTTTAGTGGTTTTGGTTTGTTGTCTTTATCCGTGTGCATCCTAGCTGGTTTCTTTCTGTCCTGTTTGGATGTTCTGTGCCGGGTTTGGGGCTTGATTTTCTCCTCTCTGCTCTTGGTCGTGAGCCTTACTGTTGTGGTTTGTGTTTTGGTTAGTTTGAAACTTAACTTTCTTCTCATTTCCTCTGACTATGAGCTTTCTTCAGCGGCTCTTTTATGTTGAAATGGTTGGTTCAAGCTTAAATGATGATGGTCTCCTTCCTGCTGCCTTGGCCGTGAGCCTTACCTTGTGTTTACTGCCCTTGTGGTTTTCCTCTTGCTGCCCTTACCCGTGGGCTTATTCTGTGGTCGCTTTCTCTTTCTTGGCCCTACCCGTGAGCTTAAATGTGTGGTGACCTTCCTCTTGCTGTCCCTACCCGTGAGCCTTACCTTGTGATCTTTTCGTGAGATAAGTTGGGCTGGTGGCTGTCCCTCTCTGTTGCATCTGGTTATGAACATTTATATGGTTTTATCTGGATATTTTCATGTTTATATGATATGAAAAGTTTTTTTTAATGAAGGTTGGAATTAAATGATTTTGATTTTGGGACGATTTTCTGGAAGGCTAGAAGGTTGCCCCTTTATGGATTATTCTCCTTTATTTTGTGAAATATGAAAGGTTTTTATAGCTTTATTTTGGGAAATCATAAAGTTGATATGAAACAGATTCATGAAGGGTTTGAAAGCTTATAAAATTGTCATTTGGAAAAGTGTTTGGAGATTCAACATTAAAATTTGGATAACATAAATGCCACATTTCGGTTCAGGCTGGGGTGTGTGAGTACATATAGGTGTTGGAGCCGTGGATACAATTGTTACATTAGTTTTGGGCCCGTTTCGACCTATTTGAAACAAAATTTGGAAGAGATATTCTTCTTGGGTTAATCCATTTATAAAATTTGAGAAAATGATATCCTTCTTGGATTGTTTTAAAGGACCTTGGGCTCTCTTTTTTTTCACAGTTTTGAGGTTTGTTCCACCATTCATCATTTCAATCTTTTGGGTGGATCAATTCCTCCTCTCTTATCCCCATTTTTATACTTTTTTTCCTTGCTTCTTGCTTTGGTTTTCAATGCTTATGTCTGACATATATGTGCTCATATATAACCTTTTGCTATATATGAAACCATCAAGTAAGGTCGCAAGTAGGTCGGTTTTGTTTTGGGGCTTAGGGCGATGCTGACAAAGACACGCCAGTGGTAGAGCAAAATGATATTCCATCATACGATATCAGGAATCTAATCCTTGGATCTGATAAATTGTAGGATGACAATATCATTCACCGACACAAGACTAGCGAGGACCCGTACTTTCTTAG